TTTTTCTTGCTCTGCTTCTCCCCCACGCTTGCCAAGTCGCCCTTCTTGCCAGTCCACTTCTCTGCCAGGCAGCCTGGGGAGGAGAGGGGCAGAGGAGGCCTTGAGGGAGAAGCGGGTCTCCCCGTGCCCCGGTGGGGCTCCACTGCCCTCCCTAGGACGCCTGCACTGCCCTCGGCAGCAGCCAGGACTTACTTGTGTCCTTCCCTTTTAGCACATGGTCGGCACAGAGAAACTGGGAGAGATCCTCCGTCTGGTGGTTCCTGTACCAGTCCTCGATCACGTCTTCGTACTCCTCCACCAGCACGTCGCACTAGCGCAGAGATAAGAGCCTAGCTCCAGCCACGCGCCTGGTCCAGGGCAGGACCAGGACCAGGGCAGCGGGTCCTGCCACCATCCTAGCAGACCCTCTCTTCCCCTGGGCTCCAGCCCCCAAGGCCACGGTGGCCACTGAGGGCCAATCCCACCAGGCCGGGTACCTGCTTTTTGAGGTCAGCCACCTCAGCGGAGGTCTCGTTCCACAGCTCGTAGGGGATGTCCATCACCACCTTGACGCCCTTGTGCACCAGGTTGTGCAGGGTCTCGAACGTCTCCGACATGCCCTGGGGGAGCAGTGCTGCCCAGTGAAGCGGCGCTCCTCCTGCCGGGCTCCCCCTCTCCCCTCCCAGTGCTGGCCGCATGACCCTGCCTGGGGATGCAGGGACGTGCAAGCCAGCCAAAATCAGGGTCCCCGAGGCACCAGCGTTACCAGGAGGGAGTTCAAGTAACTCAAGCACCCTCAAGCACCCGCTCCCAAAAACAACAGGAAGACATGGGCCAGGCAAGAAAGCCCTTGGCTCTCTCCATGCAGGCGAGGCCACGGGCCTGCCCACCCCCCCAAGGACAGCACCCCACACCTGACTTGGGGGGCAGCACGGCCTCACATGCTGGGCGCTGGCAGGGGATCAAGGGGATGGGAAGAATGAACCCCGGTTGGGCGCCCCAGCAGCACAAGGGCAGGCGAGGGACACTAGGGAGCAGGGGACTGGAGGACAGCCCTCACCTTTGCAAATCTGTTACTGCCACTCCTCTCCTTGTGCAGGTTGTAATCCAACAGCCGCTTGCAGATGTTCTCCGTCACCTCAATTAACCGGATGTCCCTGCACAGAGAGGAAGGAGGGCTTGGGCTCAGCACTGGCCCCCAAGAACAGCCAGGGCACAGGGCGAGCCTCATCCCAGACGGTGCGATGGGGAAGCGCTCTGCGGCTCCCAGGCTCCCCCAAACAGAAGGAGCACCTGCAGCTGCCCTGCCCTGCCCACCCCACCAGCCCTGGCACAGTTTCGTTTTCTCAGAGGAGCTGTGAGCAGCACAGCCTGCCTGCAGGCTTCCGAAGCCCCCGGCTCTGCAGACCGCAGGCAGCAACAGCAGCAGGAGACCACCCGTCCCGCTCTCACTTACGACTGCGTGTACTTGATGGCAGAGCCCTTCCCATCCAGGAAGCCGTACTTGGTGTCAATCACTTCCTTTGTCTTGCCAGTCTCCTCAAAAGCGGATTTCAGCTCCACCGCCACGTACTTGCACACTGCAGGAAGGAAAGCACAGGCGGGTTAGGGGGTTTCGCTGCTCTGATGTCCCCAGCGACACAGCACCTGGGGATGGGACAGCAGCAGAAACAAACAGCAGTCGGGCGCACTAGAGCCGCTGTGAGCAGAAAACAGGCGGCTCAGACATTCAAAGAAATAACCGGGAACAGCTCAATTGATTCCACTGGAGATCCCTTGAAGCAGGAACACCCGAACCAATGCTTCGGTGTAAGCGCATCCACACAGTCAGCTGCTGCGGCACAGCTGGGAAGGCAGATGGCGACAGTTCTGCCTGCAGGTTTCCCTGACAGCTCCACTTCGCAGCCACGGAAGCCTCTGCCTCTGTGCCACAAGCCGCTCCCTTCCTCCTGGAAGAGGATGGGGTCTTTTCACAACGCAAGCCCCAGCATGGGTCACAGCTCCTCCTCGCTACATCAGCACATCCCGCCCTGGGGACACGGGGGCTGCACTGGGGACCGAGCAGCTGGCAGAGCTCAGCGGGCTCGGTGGCAGGACAAGATGCTGGGTACGGACTGTGTCACCACACGAGGGGCTGTCAGCTCCAGCAACACCGCCTGGGGCACTGCCTGCAGCAGAGACCACAGCACCAACAGCTTTATAACACAGCACATGTTTTCTTTTCTAAAACTAAAAAAAAAGAGGAAACGAAAGCTTTATTTTTTCTATAACAAAGACTCCGACAGAGCTATAGAAACAGAGCAGGAGAAGAGAAATATCTCAGGGATTTACAAGTGGAAATGTGGAGGGATGGAAGCTAGGCATGGTGTGGCCCTTCGTCCCCCGAAGCCGGGGTCCCGGGAGGCTGGAGAAAGCTTTGTCCTGTGCTGTGCGCTCCTGTTTGCTGGGAGCCACCTCCTCTTCAAGCCCCACTTCGGGAGGAGGGCCAAGCCCCAGCAGGAACCCACTGTATCTGCTCCCAGGCAATGACGTGAGCAGAGAGATGTGCCGCAGGCAGGAAGAGAGCGAGGTGGCTTCTCCAGGGCTGCCATGCACGTACTGAGAAGCCCCGTGAGCACCTCCTGCACCTTCCTTTCTCTGCTGGTATGAGGGGCTGGAGATAACCACAGCCATTTCTCAGGTGGGACGAGTGCTCCTTCCTGCAGCCCCTCTGGACTTGGGCCTCGAGGACATCCCTCTCCACACCACACCTGCTGCAACGTCCCCATGCATGCCAGGAGTGCTCACTGCTGGGTCCAGTTATCCAGGTGCTGCCTGTGGCTATCGCTGCATGCTGACACAGGTTCCAAGCCTGGGCAGGAAGAGGAGCAGTGCGTGGTCAGTGCTCACTATGATGTTTCTCTGAGGTGCCACAGCACAGCTTGGACATCAGTGTCTCCAGAGCTGCTTCCCTGCCAGGGAAAGCTTTGCAAAGAGCTCTAGAGTTTCATTTCTTCCTTTGCTCTTTGCTGTCAAGCTCCACATGTCCCTGCACAGCAAAGACAGAAGAAACCACGGCAGACAGCAAAGGTCCGTCATGAAGGACCTGTGAAGCCTTTGATTGCTTGTGGATCAAGGGGCTGCTCAGGGAGGAAGCATCGCTGAGGCTGAACTGTGAGCAGCAGAAACGACCAGCCCCAGCTACGAACCGCCAGGCGATTAGTGCCTACTGGAAACAGCAGTGACTGTCAGGGCATCCCTAAACCTCTCACCTAGGGAAGGACGGAAGACAGCCACCAGCAGGGACACGCTGCAGGAGGCTCCACTCCGCTGCAGGGGCACTGG